CGGGTATGAGCTTCCGCTCTATCGGCCATCCTGCCTGTAACAGAACATCTTTGCTCCTAGTCCTCACTGAAACAATGAATAAAATTAGGAGGAAATTAGGAAAAAATAAACTACCGAAAATTTAGAAACTTCCAACATTATTTAAAAAAAATTGAACTACTGAAAATTTTGAAATTTTCAATACATGTTGTAAAGTTCCGAAAATTTCAAAATTTTCAGTACAGCGGATAAATACTAAATCCAAAATTTTCAAAATTTTTTATTATGATATATCAAATATTTTGAAATTTCTAATACGAAATACTAGAAATTACACAAATTCACCATAAATTCCTTACTATTTTATAAAATTTTAGATATTTTTCAATAAATTTTAAAAATACAGTGTGATATTGAAATTTAAAATTTATAAAAAAAAAATTGAATTTGAATAATTTAGTCTTTTCACAATGATGTTGTCTTAAATCATCAAAAAAAAATATAGCCAATATGAATAGTCAATCCTAACATAAATATATTTGTCCTGCCCCCACTTTTTGATAAATAATTTTCCGTAATTGATAAGTGACAAGTCATTTTTCTATTTCTCATAATCTTACTAACTTTTCTAGTGAGTCCAAATTTGAAGACTCTTATTTTTCAACAAAAACATTCCCCATTTCCACAATCAAACATGGACTAATATTTTTGAAATTTTTACCAAAATCATGATAAGCACTCTTTAAGAAAAGGTGGATCTATACAATTATACAACAGAAATATCAACTATACTTACACCACTAGATTTCACATGCAATCAAAATATGTTATAAATTTCTTCACACAATTTTATTTACATCATCACTTTATTATACTCATACTATTTCTATTCAACAAACAAATCAAAATCGCCTTATTCAACTTCAAGAACACATGCCAAAAACTATACAAGTAGCATCAGAAAACAAAATTGTCTTCATCAAAACAATAACATGGGTGTCTATTTGATCCACAAAATCTAGCTCATGAACTTCCAAAAATCCAAATAGGGTCTCCCATAAGGGGTCACATACTCATTCACTTGTCACCACCACTAAAAAACAGTATATTTAAATATAATACCCATATATTATGCATTTTAATGTACACCTCAAACCAACGTGTCAAAACTAAATGTCACAATTATTTTTAATAGAATCCAATTCGACACAATCACTCAAATAATAATTATTGGATCAAAATCAAATCTCTCAAACTTCCACTTTCAAGTTGAAAAAAGTAATATATGAGAGGAAGAATTTAAATTTGTTGAAAATGTTGAACCTAGAAGGAGATTTCTTTTGTGCACCTCACGGTGTCGAGAACACAATCAAAGTCAATGGAAAGCCTACGACCCGTGAGAAAGAAAAGAGATATGATCTTACATCAAGAGGTTCAACGTAGAAGTGATACTAATCAAAGAATTCAACATGAGAGGAAGAAGTACTCCCTTCAATTATTATTATAAGCAGAGATTTTTCTTTTAAGTTTATTGAGTAATTAATATATTTAGTCTATATAAAAGATCAAATACATTCATTATTCAATGAATAAAAAAAAATTGCTATAATAATGATCAAAGAGAGTACTTGTTAAGTATAGGACTTTAAACGGGATCTACATTCGCCAATATTATTAGAATTTGGGCCCTTAAAATTGTCAACAACTTAGCGAGCTTCGCAGACAAAGAAAAGGTGAATCGCTAAAAGAATGTAATTTATTCATCTTTTATTAGAGAAGAGTGTAATTTTTTCTAATATATTTTGTCGAAGAATGGATATAAATATATAATTTATTCACTTTTAAGTAATGTTTAATTACATGTGAGTGGATTTGAAACTGTAACATCCTATATATTCCCAATTAAGAAAGAAGAGTATAATTTTTCTAATATATTTTATCAAAGAATGAATATAAATATATAATTTATTTATTTTTAAGTAGTGTTTAATTGCATGTGACTAGGTTTGAAACTGCAACATCCTATTCATTCTCGGTTAAGAAATGAAAACTAAACTACTAGATAAAAGAAATATAAAAGTTAAGGTAGTATATTGTGCGCATCTCTCAGTAGAGAGAAATATAATATATTTTGCATAAGGATGGAGGAGATTGTATATTTTAACACAACAAAAAAGAATATATAATATCAATATCTTTAAAAAATGGTGTAATATATTTTGCATAAGAAAGGAGAGAGAGTATATATTTTAACATAACATAAGAAATGAGAGGAGTATAATTTACTCTAATAGTAATTATTAAATTAATACTTTAATATAAATTGAAAAAAAAAAACATCTAATATATAATGACTAATAAAATATAAATTTAAAAGACTTAATTGAAATTTTGGTGGCTCTATTATATTGTTTTTCGAATTTTGATTCTTTCATTTTAAAATCTGAAATTTTAATTTATTTATTTTAACTTTTTGAGAATTTGAGTCCCTCTGAAATTTGAAAGCAAATTTTAATAATATAACGGTCATATTAATGATGTATCAGTGTAAGTTCTGCAGTGAATTATTTAAAAAAAAAAAAAATTTATTTAAGATTTATGTTAAACATGTATCCATCTGAATTTTATATCAATAAATATTATCTTCTCAATTCTTTCTTTTTTCAGACTTTTGGTCCTCCTTATAACCAAAAAAAAATGAATATATCGTTATATCATATTATGTAATTAATTAAAATTTTCAATTTAAATTTATAAAATAAATAATTGTCATTAGTTAACAACATAATTTACAATTTACAATGATAGTGCATCATTCCTTTTTTTTCTAAATTTTTTCCAAAATATGTACATAATATAAGGGAGTGTGAGCCTACGAATGAATAAAATTGATTTTAAATAAAAAAATTAATTTAAAATAATAATTTATACTTGAATATTGTTGAATGATAAATTTAATATATAATACAATTATATAATCAAAAGTTATATTTAAAATTTCAAAGATAAAATCAATTTCACTTTTAAGAAATTAAATATGTCAAAAATCAACTATATTTTTCTAAAATTTAAATTACTTTAAACTTGTCCAATTTAACGTGGATTAGATCTAGAATTCTTGATTGTTTGACTCACTAATTCCAATCAAATGAAATAAAAATTCATAACCATAACGTCTCGTGCTTATCCACGAGGAGTCATTTTCTTTATCAAATTAATTTCAACTTTCAAGCTTAATATTTAATACAATTATTTTTCCAATAACATAACAGTTGGAAAAAAAAAAAAAGTAAAAATAAAATAACAGCATAGTAGTGTAATTCACGAGACTATAGTATGTATATTTTATACACACCAAATGACATAATATTCACAAGAGCACAGTTTCAAAGCCCAAAATATTCGAAAAACTGTGAACTTTTGTCATACGTGTGGGCATCTAAATCTACTTTTATATAGATTTTTGCATGTCCTTTCATGTCAGAGAGAGAGGGAAAAAGAAAAGAGTTTTTTAGAGAGAGAAAGTGGGCATCACTCACATGGGTGGACCCTACAAACAACCTGGCATTATTTAAATTACGATAAGGCCCACATTCAGTGTCAGCATTACCCATGTGAAGATGTGTGTGTGCTTGGGTGGACCCCTCTTTTTCTCTCTCTTGTTTTGTTTCTCTCTCTAATAATGGCGTCTATTAAATGACATTGTTGCCCCACTCCCACCTCCCACCAATTTTTATATTCAAAAGTTTAAAATTATTGCATGGTGAACTATCATAAATTCTCCTTTCATATTCATTTCGTATAATATAATATAACATTATCATCATCATGTTTTTTATTCTTTTTAATATACTAGTAATAGTTTTTCAATATCAATAATAGTTACATCAATGTCAATAATACATGTTTTATTTTAGTACATTCAAATTATTATTATATTTATGCTGAAAAATTTGAATTCAAACCATTAAATACTCCCATACAACTACAAGATCAAAAACTCATACCTTAATATCTTAATTCATTAGCGCGAATTTAAATCTGTAATATCTTAATTATTCAATTTTAAATATGAATTCTAGCCACCAAACTATTTAAACAAAACTATGAATTTGATGCACTAAAATGCTGAATCAAAAAGTGTAAATTTCAACCACTAAATTATATTTAAAAATTTCTAATTATAGTATCATTAACATGTATCCTTAAAACACATTTTAACATGACCCATAATTTAAATTCATTTCATTCAAAACATGTAAGGATGCATATTTGTAAGGATGCATATTTGCCAAGTTTCAAACATTTTCCAAGTGTAAATTTCAGCCACTAAACTACTCGACTTAAAAACCTCCCATACAATTTCAAGATCATAAAGTCTTAAATTTGAACATGTTCCACCTAAAAATATCGAGATATGAAAAGTAAAGTTTTTTTCTAAACTAGAGTCTTATATTTTTCTCAAATTTAGTTGTATAGTGAAAATTACGATGGTCTTATAATTTTGATAGGATTCTTCTAAAGTAGAGTTTTAGCAACAAAAAAAAAAAGAAGAAACATACACTAATATGTGGGAAAGAGAGGGGGAGGAGATAGAAAAAGACAAGAGGGTGAGGGGATGAAGGGAAAGAGACCAAATAGTCATAATCACTTTTGCTTTCTTGCTTTAACTTTTCTAAAAACCTTTCACTTTTGTGTCTTGGTGGTGGCCTAGGGTTGATAAATGTGTTACAACTAATTATACAAGTACAACCCATCAATACAATAAACTAAAATAAAACTACTACAAATCTTCTTTTTCAAATCTAATTATAAATAATAACCATAATTATAACTTTTTCACCTCTCCTTAATCAACTTTGAAGTAGTAGTAGTTATACAACAATCTTCTTTCTCTATAATCAGCTTCTAATATAAAACTAAAACCAAGATGTTGTTACTAAGTACTACTATACTACTACTAATGCTTCTATTCACTCTCTTGATTTTTTGCTACTATTTTTTTTAACATGTGGTGGAGTTCAAATTACTACAGAGAAAATGAGAAGTGAAAATAGTACAATAATAATAATTATGATATAAAGAGAAAAGAAAGGAAATGCATGTCCCACTTCCTTTACTGAACTGCTTTTGATGTATGCATTTTGTATGGAAGTAATTAGAGTATAGTATTGATCATTCATGCTATTGATGCTGATGCCTTCAACGGTGGTGATTGATTCTCTACAACATTTTTTTTTTGTTTTCATTTTTCTCTCCCTGTCAATATATAACCAAAAAAAATATTTTGAGATCGTCAAAGTATTTACGTATTCATTGAATAACTAATGTATCTAGTTTATATGATTATATGATTATATGATACTTGATACTCAATGTACCGGTTGAAAGAATATATTTGCTTATAATAATGACCAGAAGGTGTATAGGGTATATAAGTTACCTGGACCCGAGAAAATTTAATACTAAATGCCAATTGGTCCACCGGTGCCCGCGATCATTCCAATGGTTCCATGGCCAGAAGTGAACCTAGGTTGCAGAAACAATATCATTAATTTCAAATATGTTATGACTCTAAATCAATGTTTTAAAAATCAAACCGGACATTGAACCATAAAGATGCCGGGATCATGGTTCAATGTTAAACCGGTTGAACCATGCGGTTTGATTTTAAAAATGTTGGTTTGAATGTAATGATGGTGGTACCTAGGTATTTGGCAGTTATAGGATGTGAAAGGCCCGATGTCGAGAGGAGAGGAGGGTGGAAGAACTGTGTTAGTACTAAATTTGGAGTTGGCAGATGAAGCTGAAGCATCTGAATCAATGGCCTCATTAGGTCCATTGTTGAAGGCAGCCATGTAGTCACCAATAGCTTTAGTAGGGGAAGCAAAAGGGCTATCAGGGAGATTATGCTCCAAGCTGCATTTATTTATATAACAAATTTAGATACATAACCTTTAAAAAGACAGCAATCAATGTCAGAGATTTCAATGTTTGGTAATGGAAGTGGGGAATAAATGCATGAGACTTTTAGCATGGACTAAAAGAGGAATTTGATGCAAAAAAATAAATAAAGGTGCAATGCAACTAAATGCTATTATTGTTCCTTTTTTTGGTTATTATTCTAAATGAGAGAAAAAAAGTTTTATACCATTCTTGTAAATCACTATCTTCATGAGTTGAGGTTTGTTTGCCACTTGCGTCACTATTTCCATTCTCTTCTCCTCCATTGACAGTGTTTACTTGCTGATCAACCGGAATTGATGCAGTGCTAACAGAGCCTGAACCTGAACCCGAGCCCGAGCCGTTCTCTGATATCAAACAACATAAAATGATACACTAAGTTTATAATATAATTGATAGAAAACGCGAAAAGGGTGGAAAAAGTTATTAGTGTTGTACCCTCTTGGCTTTCGGAGCTGCTGTGAAAAGATGAAAATGCAAAGTTTTGATTGAACATGTTAGGAGATTGAGTTGGTGAAGGAATTGGACTCCCAGATGAAAGTGCACGGTTGTGTTGCTTTTTGATGTCGAGAAGTTGAAGACTCATGAGTCGTCTACTTTGAAGTTCGAGAGCTTGTTGAAGTTCAGCTTGTTCCTCTAACTTCCTCCTCCAAAGAATGTCTTGAGTATTGTAGTACATTCTCCCCCCTAAGAAATTTGAAGACACCATACATGTTAAAGAATTTCAGATGTGTTTGGTGTCTTGTGTCCGATTGAAAGTGTGTCTGGTGTCTGACATGTTTGATACCGACACAACACACAAGTGATTACATTCAATAATTTCATATTTGTAAATTATCATTGGCGTCAACGTGTCTATGCCGTGTTTTGTGTTTGTGCTTCGTAGTTATCAACTTACCAGCTTGAAGATCAAACGGATCTCCGCCGTTTAGTCCAGTAGGTGTACCACATGGAGAAAAGTCTCCTCTATCCATTTGTAGCTGCTTTCTGCAAATTACATGAAAATCTCAGCACAGTTTCAAAGCATACATCAAATATCGATCGATAGTGAAAAAAACAAGGAAAAGGAGGTGTTACTTGTCGGGGACTTTGCCTTTCTCCTTGTAAGGCTTAACAAGCACTCTAGCATCACAAACAAAATGAGGGTTTCCTTTAGCTAAAATGAGTTTCACCGTCTCCGGATAAACAAACGTAACAAAACCAAACATCCTTTTTTGCTGATACGGAATCCTCACATCTTGAACCGGTCCGTAAATACTGCAACAAAAGCAATGAAAAACAAATTAACTTCCCAGAACCACAAAAACTAGTGCAAGTTTTGAACTTCAACAAACTCGTTGTCAATCTAAACATGCGCGAATAATTTAATTCATTATAACAAGAGATTAAAAAAGAACCTGAAGTAGTTTGAAACATCTTCCTCTCTAAAAGTACTGTCAGCTGGAAAAGTCAAGTATATCTGCCGAGAAGCCGGATTCATCATTCCGATATTGTTCAAAGAAAAATCATTTCTGTCTAACCTTGACCTTCCAAATTTCTGCAAATCTTCATTCATCATAAGTGCTGCAGCTGCAGCTCTGCGATACCATTCATGATTAGTATTCAAGTGTTTAACAAAATCACAGCACAACCGTAATTTCACCATTTGAACTTAAAAAAACAAGACTTTAGGATTTTAAGTTAAAGTTTATTATACCTAGTATCACTTTGTTGCTGCTGAAGAAGCAAACTCAAGCTCTTCGGTGAGTAAGGAAAAGACGAAGTAGCCATGAGTTGAGAAGCCGCGGCGAATCGTTGTTGTTGAAGAGATTTAGATCTAAGAAGCTGTTCATGACACTGATCCATCATCTCAATCTTGTTAGGAGAACCAACACCTTCACCGCCATCTCCGAAACCGCCGTGAAGAAACCTACAGCTAGTTCCATTCTTACAGTATCCTCTAGCATAGTAAAGACATGGTTTCCAACCTAAGCCAGAATTCGGATCCTCAGAAACCAAACAAGCATCATTCACCGAACAGCTTCGTCGATGAACCGAACCTCCATAACCATACGGAAAAAACGAAGGGTCAACACTATTACCATTACCAACACTTCCACCACCACCAGGACTAGAAGATAACTCTGACTGAGAGTAAAACAAATCGGAATTCTTCGATGTTCCATCATTAAGAAAAGAGAGCTGGTCTTGAAGATGAAACTCATCAATAGAGTCAGAAACTCCTCCATTACCGTAAAAAGGCGAAGAAGTGTTCATGGAACTAGAATCATCAGCCCAAGAAGATGAACTTGGATTTGGGATACTGAGATTCAAAGGAAGAGTCATGCCACTGTTTAAGACTCTTGATGAGTTCGAGTTTGAGTTAGAGTTTGAGTTTTGTCTTGAAATTGAAACAGGATTGCTTGAGGAAAAAGGTGAAGGTGATTGAGGTGTTGTTGAAGGTGAGTTCAACGCTAATCCTAACTCATTTCTAGCTTTGAAAATCACTGAATGAAGAAGTGATTCTGGACCAAAAGCTAATCTAATCATTTCTTTCTCACCATGGTCTTGAAGAAGAAGTAAACCCATTATTTTGGAAGCGTTTTCAGGGTCCATGGTTTGGATCCTTTGAAAAACAATCCTAGTAGCTTCATAACCATCCATAGTTTCTTCCAAAACAAAAAACTAACAAAACCCAAAACTAAAAATTCAATTTTTTTCAAGTATATCTCTATTTGTAACTATCTTACTCAAAAAAAGTTTGCTTTTTTTTCCTTAACCACACACAAAAACCCTACCTACCAACCAAAACCAAAACCAAAACCAAAGTGTTTGGTTTCTTTCTCATGTTCCTGCAAAAGATTAGGCAAAAAAGCAAGTTAAAGGATAAAGAAAACAAGAAAAGTAAAGTGCTTAAAAAGAGTAGTATTCTCGTGTAGTAAATCAAACAAAAAACACATACAAAAAAATTGGGTTTTGAAATAAGTTCAAAAGTAACAAAAGAGTTAAGAGAGAGAAAGAGGAATAAAAATCTAATTTTTATATAGTTTTATAATGATTGAAAACAAACCCTTTTTTTCCAAATCAAATTTGAAACCCAGTTCTGTGCAGAAATCACAGTCTTACCTATGAAAGCATATAAATCTTTCTCTTGGTTACTTTCTGAACTGAAACTATCTTCATACTACACACATGCAATAAAGGGTCAACCTATAGTTAGTATACAAAACCAAAACCAAAACCAAAAACCAAAAACCAAATACTAAAACCACATATGATTTTATGCTCCACACTTTTGCTATGGTTTGTGTTTTATGGAGTTATGTTGTGAGGAAAGAGTGTGTGTAGTGTATGTAGTAGTAGTGAAGTTGAAAGTTTGTCCTATTCAAAAGCCTTTTCTCTTTCTCTCTCCTATTCAATTTCTCTCTCTACCCTAATTTTTCTCTCACTAGACACATAAACACAAAACACAAACAAAAACAAAGACAGTTTCTCTATCTATATACTATAGATTCTATCCTAACCCTTGAATAGTTTTTTTGTGTGTGTGTGTGTTTTGAAACAGTGAGAGAAAAAACAATGAGTGATGAAAATTGTGGTTTTAGGAGCAACAAGAACAAGTGAAAGTGTTTATGTGTGTTTGTGTGTCTAGTTTGAATGGATCCAGATCTGTGTTTCAAATAGTGCACGTTCACTTCCCTCTAACCTCTGACAATATTTTATTCAGTTTTTGAGACATATATTTAATCAAATTATATATATTATAATTATAATATTGCTTTTTATGTTAATGTTTATTAAAATATCTTTAAATATATGTATATGAAAATGGTAATATTTCACTGTCAATAAATTTTATATTAACGACTTGACCACTAAAAAAAATTATACTAATGAATCAAGTGAGTCAATATTTTTATATAATAGTATAATAAAGTAGTACATTTAAATTTTAGAATTTTATTTTTTAAATGAAAATTGTATTATAGTATTTCAATTTTAACAAAAAAATTTGATTAAAAATTGGAGCATATTTTAATAGATTACTCCAATTTTAAGTAAAAGTAAGAATTTTGAGTTTGATATTCTAGAATTTAATAAAACTTAATTGATTGTATTTAATTTTTTAAATGAAAATTATATTATAGTATTTCAATTTTAACAAAAAAATTTGATTAAAAATAGAAATATATTTTAATAGATTACTCCAATTTTAAGTAAAAGTAAGAATTTTGAGTTTGATATTCTAGAATTTAATAAAACTTAATTGATTGTATTTAATTTAATGATATTTTTTTTAATTTTC